GTGCACTGTAGCAGTGCGCCACCGGGCCGGCCCTTCCCAAAATATTTTTGATCCATGGTTGGTTAAACCCACAGATACAGAACCACTGGACACAGAGTGCCAACTGTATGTTCACAAGGTTGTGCAACCGTCACTACTGTCTCACTATCTAATTCCAGAAACCAAGTCCTTTTTTAACAGTGAATTTTTTTCTTTGGACTAGGTCCTACATTTCAAAAGGTATGAAATTCAAAAGGAATAAAAGATATATAATCATTAAAGTGCAGATGAGGTACCCCTTCGTGTTACTGTTGTATTACTTTGTTTGCTGTTGCCACCATCACAAATAACCACAAATGCAATGACTTTTATTTTTTTTATTTTTAAAAAGATGACCGGTAAGGGGATCTTAACCCTTGACTTGGTATTGTCAGCACCACGCTCAGCCAGTGAGCGAACCGGCCATCCCTATATGGGATCCGAACCCGGGGCCTTGGTGTTATCAGCACCGCACTCTCCCGCTTGGTGTTATCAGCACCACACTCTCCCGAGTGAGCCACGGGCCGGCCCAATGCAATGGCTTTTAACAACATACATTTATTCTCTTACAGTTCTAGTGGCCAGAAGCCCAAAATTAGTCTCACAGGGCTAAAATCAAGGTGTGGGTAGGGCTTTGAGGATCTGGAGGATCTGGGGGGAATCTACGATCTGGCCTTTCCTAGCTTCTAGAAGCTGCCAAGTTCCTTGGCTTGTGGCCCCTTCCTCTGTCCTCACAGTGTTGCTGTAACCTCTGCTCACATGGCATTCTCCTCTGTGTGTGGAAAACCTTTCTCTGCCTCCCTCTTATGAGGATCCTTATGATGACATTTAGAGTCCTGCTAGATAATCTAGGAAAATCTCCACATCTCAAGGTCCTTAATTTAATCACATCTGCAAAGTCCCTTTTGTCATGTGAAGTAGCATATCTACGGGTCTCAGGGATTAGCATGTGGACATCTTTGGGGGGCTATTATTCATCCTAACACCCCCTTGAGTACCTCAGAGCGTATGCCCTAAGAACATTCTCTTATATAAACCCAGTACAACGACATCATTAGGCAATTATCATCAGCACAGTACTATTATCTAATCCACAGACTTTATGCCAATTGTCCCAAAATATGCTTTATAGCAAAACAAAATAAGACAAAAATAAATAAAATACCCTCTCTTCCCCAGTCCAGGATCACACATCGTATTTGGTCATCACATCTCTTTACTCTCCTTCAGTCTGGAATTGTTCCTGGGTCTGTCTTTATTGTTCGTGACCTTGACACTTTTGAAGATTCCAGACCAGTTATTTTGTCTTAATTTGAGTGTGTTTCCTCATGGTTAGAATCCAGTTGCACATTTTTGGCAGGAGTATCGCCAGAAGGGATGCCAGTCCCTTCTTGCTCCCCACCACGCACCTTTTTCTAAGTCAACTTTGTGTTAAAGTATAGCATACACACAAAAAGTGCATACAGATCCTAAGCATTCAGCTCCAGGGATTTTTGCAAGGGAACACCTCATATAACCAGCACCAGAAGCCCCCCTTATGCCCCTTCCTTCACCATCACCCCCTCAACATTACTGTTATTCCGACTTCTAAAAGCATATTGCAAGGGAACACCTCATATAACCAGCACCAGAAGCCCCCCTTATGCCCCTTCCTTCACCAGCACCCCCTCAACATTACTGTTATTCCGACTTCTAAAAGCATGGAGTTGTTTCGCCTGTTCTTGGATTCGGTACAAATCGAATCACTTCCTCATCTGGCTTCTTTCATTCAACCTGTGTTTGTGAAATTCATCCATGTTCAGCGAGGGGGCTTTGAGGGGGCTGGTTCCAAACGTACATTCACTTTTAAACATTCAGGGAGCTGGACATATATGATTTGTGCGCTTTTCTGTATGTGTGCTATACCTACATATTTACATTCAAAATATATGTTAAAAAGAAGGAGGAGAGGGGAAGGACAGAAACTAAAAGCACAGACTCCAGAGACAGTCTGCCCTTGTTTGAATCTCAGCTCGGCCAGCTTGTGAGCTGGGTTGTCTTGGGCAAACTGATGACGTACCTCAATTTCCCCATCCTTAACATGAGCATCATAGCAGGATCTGCCTTGTTGAGTTGTTCTGAAGGTTAGGTGAGGTCATTTATAAGTGTTTGGAACAGGGTGTGGCATGGGGAAGTGAAAATAAATCGATGTCCATTTCCATCCATAAATCATGAAAACTGTTCTAGAACGAACAGTCGTTGAGGTGGCTGGGTGTTTGCATTGATTCATAGTATCACCATGAAAGCAACCAATACAGACGCACAGCCTGACGTGTCATGCTGGTTCAAATACCGAATCTTGATAAAGTTCTAAACAAGACCTGGAGCAGTCTTCCCTTGGATTCCATGCTGGCTGCCCTCCTGGAAAATTTACTGTATATTAAAGCCAAGCATAAAACCCTTCTGTGTTTACACATAAAACCGTTGGGGATTAGTTCCAGATTATTACAAACCGTGAGCAAGTGTCCAATGGGATGTTTAGAAGTCACGTGGGATGCAGGGAATTCTTTGTAGTACAATAGGGTGTCTGCATCCGGGCCTCTACCTGCCCAGTCTCTGTGACGTCCAGGACACTCCACACCCCTACAAGACCCTGAGACGGGGGCAGCACTACCCACTTACAACTCGCTTTCTGGAATTCTGCATAGACAAGCAGATACAGTTATTTTCATCATTCATGGATTCTGAATTTGTGAATTCACCTACTCACTAAATTTATTTGTAACCCCAAACTCAATACTCCTGGTTATTTCGTGGTCATTTGCAGTCATATGTAGACAGGGGAAAATCTTGATCACCCAATGCACACTCAGCTGAGTTTGAACAAGGCAACCTTTGCCTTCTGGTTTCAGCTCAAACTGTAAATCAGTGTCCTTTTCACAGTATATTTAGCGCCATGTTTTTTACATTTTTGTGCTTTTTTGTTGGTGATTTGACTTTCTGAAATGTTCCCCAAACATAGCTGAGATACCATCTAGTGTTTGTAAATGCAAGAAGGCTGTGACGTGCCTTACAGAGAAAATATGTTAGATAAGCTGCCTTCAGGTGTGAGTTACAGGGCTGTCGCGTGAGTTCAATGTGAACAAGTCAACAGTATATAGTAGAAAAGGTGTCTTTAAACAGAAACGCACACAAAACAAGGTGATGTATCAGTGGCTGATGAAAATATTGTGACCAGAGCCAAATCCTTTATCTCTTCCCTAGGAACGAGTCATATTCACTAACTCAGTGTTCGAGGTGACTCTGTGGAACATAACTAGCATCGAGTCATGAGAACTGACTGTATTTTATGTTTTCTCCCTTTTCTAAGTAGATAGCAGTATGCCAAACACCGTCTGCGTTTGTTATTCTTCACTTTGTATTTGAGAAATCTTTCCATATCACTTCGACCTTCCTCATTCACTTGCCTGAGTCCTTTTTACTACTAAATGCATCGCTTTGTAAGACAGACACGAGCAAACATTAAATGGTGACAAAGCAAACCTCGGAGATAAAATAAGCCCAAGTTCATTGATCCATTCACATATTTTAAGGCCTGCCCGGTGTCACAGATGGATTTTAAGCTGAGAGGTGGTGGTATAATTTGCCTTAAGGTTTTTAAGTTAAATTTTTTTTTTTTCTTTTTGTCTTTTTTTTACTGACCGGTAATGGGATCGCAACCCTCGGTGTCACGCCCGTACCGGG